CGCACGACATAAAGCGGAGTTGACAAGCAAGCACATGTGGATAGAAATTAAACAGGCAGCTAGGGCTTGAACTTGAGTGTGTCAGCGTAATTGTGCCAACCCGGATTATGCACTGAAATGACTAAAAGGTGGGGCGAGCAGACGCATTACTGTTAACACACTTCTTGGCAGAAGGCAGCTGTTTTACCGCCTGCTGCCCTTGGGGGGGGAGTTTGGGCAAGTAGGCCTTAAGGCGAAGCCGGATTTTTTCGCTAGTGAGTGTTATAATAACATTATTTAAAAGAATATGTTCAGAGGCTTATTATAGTCGCATTTAATATAATTTCATTTTAAAATATACTATATGGCTCTTTCTGAAATATATTTCCAAATATTTGCTTTTTTTGGCTCTCTGAGTTAAAAAGTTTGCCGACCCCTGGGCTAGGGGGTTGTCGATATGAGACAGCTGGCTATGACGGCAGGGTTTGGTATAGCAGTTTAGGGGGGAGGGGAGGAAGACAAAGTGAGCGCAGAAGAGTGCATGTCGTTAAGTTACCGTGGGCCACGCCATATGCACTCTGTTTGTCTCACTCCCCGCAACCCCCCCCTCCCCCAGACTGCTCCACCAAACCCTGCCCTCATAACCAGCCGTGTCTTAGCTACCACCCCCTCCCCCCCAATTCCCACGGCTCACTGGTACGAAAAGGCGAACACGTTTTAACTTGCCATGTAAATGTACTGGCCTAACGAACATTTATTGAAAGCATACGTAGGCATTTTTCTTTAGATCAACCGACCCCTAATCAATAAGTGCTTAAGTAACCGTCAAACTCATTTTAAGCTAATCAAAAAGAAAATGCAGTCCGTTTTGCTTTTCGGCGAGTGCCTCCCGAAAAACGCTTGCCTTACCCTTGGTCCAGCATATCCGCCATGGGGCCCGTTCGGGAGGCCCTTAGACAATTTCAACGCATGATTGACATGATGGCAGGCCTAAATACAGAAATGTTTGCATACATCAATATTTTAATTTTGTACTTAATTGATATTATCAAGGAACTTCCAAGTTCCAGTACAATCGCAGTCATTTAGCCAGGTAAATTCTAATGTACAATATTTTAATACCTGGGTATCAGTTGCACATGTCATTTGAAAGTAAAATTGCTGCCTTTTCTCTCATATTCCTACACCCAAGCAATGCGCGCTGAGGGAAATCGCCAGACACAAATGCAGCTCATAAAAAAGAAAAAGGCAGCCCATTTTTGTTTGTTCGCAAGTTACTCGAAGTCGGTATCTTTGTCCTAGTCTACAAAATACCATTGCATTTCCCCGCAGTTCACTCCATCAATAAAGTACATCGCTGTCTCTTTAAAGACTACATGTGATACATGGTTGTATTTAGAACTGTGCATAAATCAACACAATGAGCAGGTAAACTGTTTGAAACCTATCTTGGAATACATGACCGGCAAAGGAAGTGAAACTTCGAAAGCAGAACCACATTATGTATTAGTCAGTTTAAATCATATTTAAAAAAAGATGACAGAGAGTAGCCATAAAAGTGCTCAAAGGCGTCTGATCCGTGTACGTCAAAAAGACGGAATCTTAATATAATGCGAGAGAAACCACAGCAGAAAGGATGAAAACAATGCCCGCACTGCAGGCCATAGCAGAGCCCGTGGTCAC